CTATTAAACATCTAGTAATAGTTATTAGTGGCTTAATGACAAAAATTCTTTTGGGGGAACCAAGGAGTCTTGGGCACAAGGACCCCAAAACTGCATGGAGAATTTACTAACTTCGCCAGCATTGAAGCTCCGATGGCAACTGGCAATAGTCCAACCATTAGGGAGTGTTTGGGTAAGAACAAAACCATGATTTCAGAAGTACTTTTACGGTATACGAAGTAAATATGTGGAGGAGTTTTTCTCGATTTGCAAAAAAGTGCTTCTAAGAAATGATTATGGAGTGTTCCAAACACCCTCTTAATGTTAGAATTCTGATATGCTACGGTTGAAGGACACTGAGTTTCGGCAATGGCAGTGAGGGCCCTTTTTAACCCCCCCCCAAAAAAAGTAGGGCTTTTTAGTTATTAGGTAATGAAATTTAATTTTTAATTACTCCTTTCACCTTGTAGAATACTGCTTTAACATTATACGTAACCCATTTTATAATATAAATTACATTACAGAATAAGTTTTACATTTAAAACGGTAAGAATAATTTCAGATTCTATGACTTCCTTGCCATAAAATTGTTTCTTTGGGTCTATAGTGTGATTCTTCCTGTTACTTACATCAGATCCATTTGAAAAAAAAAATTATTTTCAATTTGATTTTTAGAAAAATGATATTGGATAAAAGTTAAATTTTTTATGTGATTTATGTTTAGATTGACTTTTATAAAAATTAGTTTATAAAGTAAAAAAATTATTTAAATTATAATTGAATAAGTAAGTTTAGTTTGTAGAATGACTAAAATTAGTATGACTTTTATTAAATAATAAAAAATAATTGAAAATATGAATTTATAAAAGATAATAATTTTAAATTACTATAATAGAAAGAAGTTATATTTAATGAATAAAATATATTTAAATTAGAAATTATAGTAATATAAAAATTTTTGAACTAAATAATATTACATGATTAATTGGATAATACACTGCACATAATTTATGTAAATATAAAATAAAAAAATATTATTAAAAATTAAAAATATTATAAAAACTGTTAAAAATTATTTTTACTCAAGAGAATATTAAAAATAATTAATTAAAAACTGATTAGAAAGCACAAAGAATATATAGAGAGAAAAGCATAAGAACAACATAAATATAAGGCAAAAATGTCTTTTAATTCTAAAAAGCTACCTTTGCATAAACTATAAGTAAGTTTTATATGATTTTGCATTCATACTTAAAAAAATAGTTTTGACTTATAAGTCAGATTAACTAAAAAATACAACAAACAGTTCTTAAATTTATAAATTGACTTATCACACTTATAAATTACTTTTTACTCCCTCAAATGCCTTACTAAGCACATCATCTTCTTTGGGATTTGGTGTGCTGTGTAAAATAAAAATTAAAAATTCTATATAGGTAGAGATGAAAGTGACCGTCAATGAATAATGACAATATTTTTCCACGCATGTTTTGTAGTATCCAGTTGTTTCAATTACGCATAAGTTTTTAGGTTGAAATTAACCACAGAGTATTTTATGTTGATACGTTTTTGAAAATTTTAATGACAACTACGTGAAGTCTGGGTTGGAATTGGCCCTTATGACCTCATCTTCATGGTGCGGTCATAGAGTTACACACGGATTCCACGGTCAAACTTAGATTTGAAATAAGGGAGAAAAAAAGAAAGCCTTCATTTATGTGTTAGTCAAGGCTTTCATGATTTTCTTAACATTTTTTGCATCAAACATGTATATGTATTATTATTAAACCAAACCACACAAATTTAAAAGTCTTTTCTTAACCTTTTTCATGCTAAATTTGTTCCCCTTACCTTCTTTTTCATCTTCAAGTTTTAAAACTAATTAAATGGAGCAGTGTTTTTTTCAAAATAGAAATATATGTAATTTCTGAAAAAAAATTTAAAAATACTTTAAGAACAATATTTGTAAATTTTCATAATTTATTATTGTGATAATTTATAAATTATTTATATTATTTGTTAAGAAATGAATAAACTAAGGATGTTATTATAATAACATTTTAAATTAATCTATATTATCTGCTATACATAATATCCTTTGAATTTTTATGATAATTTTAATTTTATGAAAGTATATGATTCATGATTGAGGCCCGTAGCCTTGCGTACTTCTAACATATTAATAGGATTATTGATTTATTTTTGTTCCCAATGAATGATTTGATTTTTATATGAATCTAAAGCTTTATAATAAATCATTTTTAAAAATAATTTTAACAAATCCACAAGCTTAATATTCCTATTTTATCTTATAAAAAACTATGGCTCTTTTTTTATGAGACAAGAAAATTATTTTTTCACTTGAGTATTTTACATACTACTATAATAAAAATAAAAGTATTTTTGCCTCGCTCGAAATATTACATGCAAAAGAATAAGCTCATTTATAAAACTCATGGCCGCCTTATGATTATGAGGGAAGCGAAGAAGAATATTCCCTTTTTTGTAATTATTATTATTATTAATAATTAAAAAAAATGCCGTTGATGAAACTCATGACCGTTGGCTCTAGAGTGGAACACTTTCCGGTGCTAGCCGTTATGGTCCCCGCACCGTCATGATGTTTCATTGTTTTGTATTGAAAAAGAAAAAATGTAACGTGGAAGATAACCCATTCCATTCTTTTCGTGCCTGTTTGGGTCAGCGTTTGCTGGCCCAAACGTGGCTTATAAGCACTTATAAGCTTGGTGGAAAATTTGGCCCGTTTGGCAGAGCAATTTGACAATTGGGCTTATCATTTTTTAAAGCCCCTGAACGCACGATTGGCATAAGCTCGTGCCTACCAGCTTCTGGCCCCTGGGAATTCAGCTTATGACCGTTCTGACACTACCTTTATTTTTTTGTCTTCACATCTGCCTTCCTTTATTCCCTAACTCGTGACTCTCTTTTCCTTTTACCCGAGCTCCCAGCTTGCTTCCGTCTCTGCTCGGCTCGAGAACGTCCGTCGGTGGTCGCGTCTGAGAAGGTCGTCGCTGGTGACCGTGAGCTCCGTCCGATCATCATCGCGAGGTCAGCTATTGGGGTGAGGTGTCCGTGGCTTGGTGGATGCCGTTCGTTCATCACAAGTCGGAGCTGCTCTCACCGTCTGCAACCGACGTCGCCGGCGTCTGCCTCTGCGTTTGAGCCGTGCGTGGAGATCTTGGCTTCCCAGTGCAATATACCGTTGGATCTACCTCTGGCAGCTTGGATCTACTGCAGGTTGGCCGGTTATGTCACTTTTCCGGTTTGATCCCCGGTCCTCCTTCAATTTGTTGTCCTCCCTGAATTTCCTGTCGTCCTTGAATTTCCTATCTTGCTTGAATTCGGATTTGTTCATGATTGCTGCATGTTGAGGAGGGACTGGTTGTGACACCGAAACAGGGACCGAATGTAGCATGAAATTTCTACTTGCATATCGATTTTCTTCCTCTGTTTTCCAAGGCTGAAACAATGATTAATGGTTCAAGAATTTCCTATCGTGTGTTAGTTCGGATTTGTTAATGATTGCTGGATGTTGAGGACCGACTGGTTGTGACACCGAAACAGGGACCGAATGTAGCATAAAATTTGTACTTGCATATCGATTTTCTTCCTCTGTTTTGCAATGCTGAAACAACGATTAATGGTTCAAGGAAACGGCGTATAGGATTCTCTTGATTTTTATGGTTATAGGATTCAAGAAATTGTTGCGTATATACGTTGTTAATGGCGAGATATGGACCTCTGGAATTGTAATTTTCGGAATTACAATGGTTGTTGTTTTGCATGTCCTTAGCTTCGGTCTCTTGATTTTTTGGTTATAGGATTTGATCTCTATGAGGGTAAGGTAGAAGAGAATGAGGTGGTAACATGGTGTATATATGTGTATATATGTGTGTCCGGATGGTTCATTTGATAAAGCTAATTAACGGAGTTGATAGAGCAAAGTAATAAGACATTAATTTGTACTATACAAAGAAATTAAGGACTATGTGGATAATTACTTAAAAATCATTTGGAATTAATTTGGGGAAGTCTCAATCAAAATAAATTTAATGTTATTCTTTCTCCTGTTATATTCTCTTACTTCTCTCTAATATGATATTTATTTAACTAATTTAATTATATTAAAAAAGTTAGGTAAATTAGTTAATTATGATAAATATAACTTATTTTTGTAAATAATCTTGTTCATCATTCTTAATTTGGTTTTTATTTTACTCCTACATAGTTAAATTAGGATAAAAATTAATCAATGTAATGTAGTTTAGGTTCAATTTATATGATATATTGAAAATTTAATTTCAAAATGTTCACAATCAATTACCACTGGAAAATAGTGGACATTGACAATATGATTATATATTTATAATTTTAAAAAATATTGAATAAGAAAACTAAACAGCTTATGCAATTAAAATGTGTTACTTGGTGATATATGTTTGTTTGGTTACAATGTATGTGTTATATAATACGGCTTTCATTATTACATATTTAGGGCTTTGGTTGATTTAGTTGCTCTTATCTCGATCAAAGGGCGTAGAGAAATGGATAATGACAAGGGAAAAGCGACATGGGATCATTACACGACAAAAATTCTAATCGATGTTTGTGCCGAGTAAATAGTGCACAAAGAAAGACAAGGAACATCGTTTACAAGACCTGGTTGGTTGAAAATTGAAAAGAATTTTCGGGAAAGGAGCGGGAAAATGTATGACAGGAAGCAACTGAAGAACAGATTCGATGTATTGAGAAAAGATTGGAAGTTGTGGGAAAAACTGATGTCTGGGGAGACTGGCATTGGTTATGATGCAGCCACAAATAGGGTGTTGGCCTCTGATGAGTGGTGGCAACGAAAAATACTGGTAATTATTTGTGTTAGTTGAGTTTTAATTTTGAATATCAGAAGGAACAGTGCTTAATTATGCCTAATTATGTTCATGTAGGTGGACCCTAATTTCAAGAAATTTAGACATCAGGGGCTGATGTTTGCATCAGATCTGATGAGAATATTCAGAGATGTTGTGGCTTCGGGAGAGTATGCGTACGCACCATCAGCCTCACAGCCTCAGCCAGCGTTTGCTCCACAGCCTGACACAGAAGAGGAGGATGTTTATAGAGTCGGGCTAGACCAACAAGAAGGGTCAGGGGATAGTGAGGATGAAAACTTTGGTGTGGACCCAACAGCCAGTGCCTTCACAAATGACTTCGCTGCTTGCAACATAAACACCCCCGCAAGTACTGGACCAAGTGGCTCAGGAAGCTATGGAAAGAGAAAGAGGGGTGAGACATCAGATGCAAAGAAGAAGAAGAAAGTTGCTGCAACTACATTAATTTCTGATAGCCTGAGTGTCATAGCAGCTGCTTCTGACAAGCGAGCAGCAGCATTGGTTGAAGATCCCCAAATAGTTGATAAGGTTTTGGCACACCTGACTACCGTTGAGGAGCTTAATGATGACAATCAACTATATTATGCATGTGCCAAGATGCTTACGCGGTTGAGGTGGGCTAGGCGAGCCTATTTGGGGCTTATGCATGATAGAAGCAAGTTGTTGAGGTGGTTGATACCGGCAGCACAAGACCCAGACACATGGAAGTGACCTGCAGAATAGGATTTAGTTTAGGACTTAGCTGTTTAACTATTGTTATTGCACTTGTTAACCTGAACTACCTGCTGTTTTAACCTAAACTGATGTGGCATGTTGTAGGAACTTTATTAATCATTATGTAATATATTTACGCTAATTTCTACTTGTCATCTATGCGTTTGGTTTTTCTGTTTGCAGTATGAAAATTATTTACACTTTGTTTAGTGTAATCCTTATAATGCTTACATTTTGTTTTCACCATAATTACAGGGTTAATTCCAGAAATGGCTAATTGGAACGATGATTCACCATGGAATGAAGATACTTTATGGAATTGGAATAACGATTCACAGCCAAATGAAGATGACCATTCAACCATAATTAATGAGGAATTAACACAATATGAAGCAGTAGGTGCATTGGTTGGTCATTATTGTGAAATGTACTTGCTTAAACAACCGTGCAGAACTAGTGAGCAGACAGGAAATTTATGGGTACAAGGCATTATGAATGGGCATGATGATCGATGTCATGAAATGTTTAGAATGGATAAAGATGTTTTCCACCTCTTATGTACTAAATTGGTGGAACATGGTTTACAAAAGTCTAAGTACGTAGGAATTGAAGAAATGGTTGCGATGTTTTTAAACACGGTTGCACATGGACAATGCAATAGGATGATCCAGGAACGATTTCAACGATCAGGGGAAACTGTAAGTAGGCACTTTCATAATGTACTGCAAGCTTGTCTTAGCCTATCGAGTGAACTTATTCGACCCATAGATCCAACATTTCGTGGAACTCATAGAAAAATTGAGAACGATCCACGTTACTACCCATTTTTTAAGGACGCAATCGGAGCAATTGATGGCACTCATATACAGTGTGTTGTCCCCGCTGCAAAACGAGACAAATTTATTGGCAGAAAGGGATATCCATCACAAAATGTCATGGCTGTATGTGACTGGGATATGTGTTTCACTTTTGTCTTGGCAGGATGGGAGGGATCTGCACATGATGCTCGTATATTTGATAGTGCTATTACAAATTCATCTCTTAATTTCCCTCATCCACCTCCAGGTATATGTTTATGTGTTCCAATCATGCATGTTCTTTTAATTATTTCATACTTTTATTCATTTCACAATCTCTCAAATTGTTTCATGAATCATTAGGGAAATATTACTTGGTTGATGCGGGATATCCAACACCAAATGGATATCTAGGTCCATACAGATCTGAGCGCTACCACCTTCCAGACTTTCGACGACAAGTAGGATTCCGAAATAGCAACGAAGCCTTTAATTATTATCATTCCAGTTTAAGGTGCACAATAGAAAGAACATTCGGTGTTTGGAAGAATAGATTTCAAGTCCTCCGAAATATGCGCAGTTACGACTTCCAAACACAAGTGTATCTGGTTTGTGCAACAATGGCCATTCATAACCTTATAAGGAGACATTCGAGCTCCGACTTGTTTTTTGAACAAGCTGAAAATGGTAATAATGTGGGCGAACATGATCAGGCTGAAGCTAGTCAACCATCATCTTCAAATGTTACATCACAATCTTCATCGCATATGAATCGCGTCCGTGATGCAATCAGAGACCAAATTATCCATAGCTTATCTATTGATTAGTTATGTAATATTATTTAGTTTCACTTTATTGCAATACTGTAAATTGGAGTTAAAAACATGTTTATCCATTCAAATTATGTTTCGTTTTATATTTGCAATTTTTTTTCCATTTCTCTTATGTTTTCAAATTTAATTCCCTCGATCAATTTCACTTCTTCATATCAAATTAACAATAATTCACTATATTATATCAATTCATTTTTTTTCATGTTTCACATTATATTTAAAATATTTGTTATAATTTTTTTAAAATTTTAAAATTTAATTCACTCATTAATTTGACTTCTTCATAATAAATTATTTTAATTTCATTGTATTATGTCAAATCATTTTTTTATCATATTTCATTATTTATTAACACCTATACCCATTTTAGTCATTTTATAACCAAACTCACTTTTACTCAACTATAATCCAAACACCTTTTTACCAATTTCATTTCTGCAAACTAGCTTTTCTGAACTCCAATCCAAACACAATTCAGCTTATCCAATTTAGCTTTTACCAACTTCACTTCTCCATAAGCTACTTTTCCTATAAGCTGCTTTTCCAATCGCTCATCCAAACGGACCCTTCATCACTTATCACACTCTTTTTTCTCTTTAAATTTTTTATAGTAATTTCTTAAACATCTTTTATTTAATTATTATTCATCAGATGCCATATGATTTATTAATGATTTGTAGTCAAAAATTAAAAAAAAAAAGTGGTTGTTGGCAAAGATAACCATAAAGCCTTCATCTCTGGTATGGAAACAAAAATTATTAAACGAACATGCACTAGTTAATTCTTCAATTTTATAATTCCTTTTTCATTACAAAGTTTAGTATAAGGCGGTGAAAATCCCGTTTTGATGTTTAAGTAAAAGTAAAACGCAGCTCTAACGCACTTTACATTAAAATTTAATTATATTTTTATCCTTAATTCCATTTGCTTCTTACTTGATGATTAATCCCAATATTTAATTATTTTCAATACGGAGTAAAAGCTATTTCTACTGTTGATCACTTAGCATAGCTTTCTCATGAGGATAACTCATCAAATGATGAGTACCCAGTGCTCATCACTTGATGAGCAATTTGGACCATCCAAATCTAATTTGAACGGTCTAAATTTAATATTTTTAAATAATTATTTTAAAATAAAAAATTATTTTTTTAAAATATGATAATTAAGAAATTATCTTTATTTTTCATCCTATACTTATTAAAATAATTATTTTAAAAAAATAAAAATTAAATTAAATCTAAACCGTCCAGATTGGATCTAAACGGCCCAGATCTGATGAGCATCCAATGCAAATCCGATAACTTTTGCCTCTTAGAGTAATCACTTTTTATTGTTGAGGGAGAAGTTGACAAAGAAAAATAGGTCTTGTTAGTTTTTTTTTTTTTTTGTCGTGTAAGGTACTCAGTGTTTAATTAGGGGGAAAAAAAATATTTTCAGTGCCTATTGTTTATGTTTTTAATATTTAAGATAATTAAATCTAATGATTGAAAACATGGGACATAAGTCTAAAAGATCTTTAAAATAACTGCTAGAAATTGAAATAGCAATTATTGAAAATATGAAAAATAAGTGCCAAATATATAAATGATAAGTATTAAAAATATGACCAAAGAGTGATGAAAAATTAACTTATAAAATACTTTACGGCAAAGTTGCACAAAAAAATGAGAAAGTTGAGTGTTGCTAAAAGTATATTATAGAATGCCAAGTGGACCTGTAATTAACAAACTTTTTGTGAGAGTTGGTAGTAATGATTTCTCCTTAAAAATACTTCAAAGAAGCAAAATTGTTCATGAAAAGATATTTTAAAAATAAAACTACATTATAAAATATTTTAAAATATTACATCCACCTAAAAATATTTGGAAGTGTTGATTAAATATTTTGCGTTAAAATTAAAAAGTTGTGTTAAATCACGTCATGTCGCCAAAACAATCCAGTTCATTGCTTCTAGAAACCTTTCATAGCATCTGTTTGGAACGTACATTCATTCACTATCTGTCTTTCCGCGCCACCCCGCATGCTTTCCATGTCCCATTTTGCATGTACGAAAAATCATGTCATTTTTCTCATACTGCTTCTATTTTGTAATTTTTAATTTTCTCAGGAAAAAAACAACAAATGTCAAGAGATTTTTTGTTTCATCATAATCTTTCTTGTATACCTAACATTGGCTCTACCTCCTCATGTGCACTTACGAATTGAAACGGTTATAAAGTCAAATATCACTCAATGATTTCTGTCAAACCTATCTCAATAAAATCGGGAAGATTTTAAAACAACAATCATCATAGTTTGTTTGGAACCATGTTTGTAAGCATTTATAAGTATGTTTTACGTAAGTATAGATAAAACTTCTCTCGTATATTTACTTTATATTTCATAAATTATAATTAAAAAATTATTTATAAATCGTTACAAACAAGCACATACGCATAAGGAAAATTAAAACAAGTATCATGAATTCCATTTTGGTGGCAGGAAGCCAAAAACTATTCTATGTAGCTTCTAAATGTTAGGTAGAGTCTCTATCCAAATGGACCTATGTGTTTCATTAAATAAAATGATCACATTTCAATTTTTGTTGGCTTCTCATGTACTGTGATCTTAATAATAAGATCAAGCATACTCCCGTTTATTTGAATGAGATGAGAAACAACAACAAATAACATTATCTCATTAATTAGGGCCAACTATATTAATTGCAAGATATTATTGCATTTTATTGACAAATAAATATTTAGTTATATTGTTAATCAAAAGGCCATATTCAATAATTTCATTGAGCATTTTTTAAAATATTCTTTTACCTCATTTCGAATTACTGCATGCTATATAATTTACCTTTTACCAAGGCTTCTAATAGTTATGAGATGAGAAAATATGGAGAAAATAAAGAAAATAATTTTTAAAAAAGAAAAGTTAAAAAAATGTCCTCCCCCCCCCCATATCGATAAACATGACGAAACACGCAAGCGTAATTTCACAATAATGATAATGCTGTTATATGGGGAAAAAAAAGTGAGTCATATGCCTCTATTTTATCTTTCAAGACAATTTTAGAGATATATTTTCCTCCAAATTTTCTCTTTTTGAAAAAGGAAAAACTTTAGAGAGAAACATATGCACCATACTCTTTTTTTCCTTCCACATTTTCCCTCCTTAATTATTTCTTGCTAGGAGAAAATTTCTTTTGATTTTCATTCAATTTTCTCTTCTAGTTTTTCTCTCCGTGGATCCAAATATAGAATAAATAATCAATCCAAGCCACCATAGTAAATTCAGTAAATTGAAATACTCCCTCGATCTTAAAGGTATTGCTTGTTCTTATTACTTGCTGCTTGCTTTGCTTTTTGGCCAAACA